CGGGGGAATGGAGCACCTCGATTAGGGGACATGTACTCCAGCCGCTGGCCGGCAAGGGGAGTATGTCGGACGTTATTAATTGTTAACCCAAGTTCGCGCGTTATTTATTGTACGTGAAGGGGAACATTTTTCCTTCGAGAGACTCTGGTCGTCTAGTCAAAGCCCGAATGTTGCTGCAGAGAAACCTACCAGGTGAGGACATTTCTGATTACACGTGACAAAGGATGCCAGAGACAGCGACAGAAGTTGTGTACACTGACCACTTGATGTACTGATATTTATCTTTATATTTAAGCTATGTATGTACTGTCATATATGTGATACTGTATCACTAGTTTTGTCTCCTATCTACATACCTGCAGATTAAAATCACACAAAATTATAATTTTATCTGTTGCATTATATGAATAACACAGCGAAACAATATACTGATGAGTATATTTGGTCCTAAGAGAAATAAAATAATAGGAGGTAAAAATTAATTGGGTTAGAGAAAAGCAGGCGAATATCTAATTTTAATTAGAAAATCCGGGTCCACAGTGATGTTCGGGGCCGAATATTGCTATCTTAGAGGCTGGGGGAATCTAGGAAAACAGACAGAACTATGACTGGCTCGAATTCCTCAGAGTCACAAAGCTGAGTTCGAACAGTAGGCATTAGACATAGAAATATATAACTAAAATGAACATTAAAGAAAAAGGATATGGGTTTGTTGACTGAATTTGCCTGCCTTTCAATGGCGTCCTCTGAAGGGCTCTTGTGGCCATAATAATTACGATGAAGATTATAGCTTTCTGGGACATTTAACCGTGTTCATATAAGTTTAGCGACGTTTCAGAGGTCCTTGCTGCCTACATCATCAGGGCGATTATGGAGGCAGCAAGAACCTCTAAGACGTCGGTAAACATCTACCTGACTACAAGGCGCAACAACCCAGAAGACAGCAATCTTTTTAAATACTTTGTTAGAAGTCCACTCCAACAAAGAATTAATTTTTGTCCTGTACATCTGGTGGTTGCCAGGAAAATACATACCTAACACTGGTTTATCACTAGGCAACTTCGTTCGATAAAATGTACAAAGCGATTAATTCGCCACTTACCATGCCCGTAGGTGGCTA